AGACTATGCGTCTTTTTCGGAGAAATCCACTAAGAAGGCGACTCTCTTCGCAAGCTTCCTAAGGATGTCCAGGCTATCGAGCTCACATGACGCAGCACTGGCAGCGATTACGGCAACAATGTTCAAGTCTCGCCTCCGACGCTACCCCTCGGAGGTCTCTAGCTAAGTTCGCTAGAGTATCCGAAGGTCCCTAGAGAGATATTCTCTCACAGGCGTACCCCGGTTGTACTAAGTACTTTTGAAGGCTAAAAGCCGAGCAATGCATGTATTTCTATTTCGTTTCCTTATGATATTTTCCTGCTCGGAAAAAACCTTTTTGGTTTTTTTTTTTCCTGAGGTTTAAGTATTTTGGTTTGTCCGTGACCCTACGGAGTGAGATGGTGGACGATTGTTTGAAGTTTTTTTTTTGAAATTTTCTGTTTTTCCTCAGTCCTAGAAGGTCGTTGGGAGGAGCAGAGACGGGTAACGTTTCAGATTAACAGATGTATGTAATGTATTTTTCTGGAAAGTTTTTTTGGTTTTCCTCAGTCCTAGACGGACGCTGGGAGGAGCAAAGACGGGTAACGTGTCGGATTAACAAATGTATGTAGCGTATTTTCCTGGTATGATGGATGCCTTCGCAATGAATGAGGACCGATACGAGGGTGTGAGGCAGAAAACACATTGTTTGCAAAGTATCTGGGCCCGCAATACCACGAAGATTCGTTAGCAGCGGAAGATACCAACGTTCAATTTTACCCGAATACAGCGAACCTTCCGGGACGTTGGTCGGATGCAGGAATTTAGGAATTTAGCAAGTAAGAGAGTTAGTGCTAAGATTAGAATAGATGAGTATCAACGAGAAACTAGATACGAAGTCGGAGAGGTTGGGTAACACAGAGTTTTTTTGGACAGTCCTAAGTTTAGAAAAAGGCGGGAAGTTTTTGATGATACGACTAGGAGCAGAGATAAAACAAGTAGCCGTGTTACGGACGAACAACACTTAGGAGATTGAGGGAGAAGCAAATGCGCTGAGAGGATACAGGGTATTTAAGAGGAGGTGAGGCCGACACCAACCACACTTCGTGGCGACGAGATCGGTATGGGATGAGGAGGAGGAGCCCCCTGAAGAGTTCGTATTTTGCACGCAGGCGACGAAACGCGTCGGAGCGACGCGTGTGGCAATGGTTCTTTCTGCGCTGAGTTGTATACCTTTCATATGAAGGGCTGGATAATCGGTTTTGTCGCATGTCATGGTCTATGCTGAGTACGTCTGTTCAAAGTTGTTTGATCCCTTAAGCATTCCTTTGGCGCTATCTTTAATCTCTTGAAAGGTAGACGCCGGATCCAATAAAACACCACTCGGGAGGAACGATTCACAAGGGGGGCATTATCGGTAAGACGGGTGCTTGGGAGGCACGAACATGACCTACCTGCCAGATGCGAGGTGGTACCTCAATAATGACGCCCATCTCCAGATAAGCCGCAATCGGACTAAGTAGAAAGGATGGGGTTAGTTATCAGCAGGGAAGGAATGATCACATTTTCCTTTTAGGGTTGATGGGCTGACATCCTTCACTCGGTCGGCAGACAAAGTTTGCGTACCTTCGAGTGAGAACCAATTGTGCGATCGGGCCATCGCATTTGAGTGAGGGGAAGGCGTGCCATCTACCTAATGAGAACAACGTGTGAAAGAGAACAAAAGGTAAATGAAAAAAAATCTATGAAGATGAAAAAAGTTCGGCAAAATGTCCAACGGAATTGTATGAGAAACTATTTGAGCTTTAACTTGAGAAAAATTTGAGAAAATGTCCAGAGGAATTGTATGAGAAATTGTACGAGCTTGGGTTTTAGAAAAGTCTGGCAAAATGTCCACAGTTATTGTATGAGAAACTGTGTGAGTTTGGGCTCAAGAAAAGTCTAGCAAAATGTCCAGAGTAATTGTATGAGAAATTGTGTGAGTGTGGGCTCAAGAAAAGTCTAGCAAAATGTCCAGAGGAATTGTATGAGAAATTGTGTGAGTTTGGGCTTGAGAAAAGTCTGGCAAAATGTCCAAAGGAATTGTATGTGAAATTGTCTAAGCTTGGGCTTGAGAAAAACCTGGCAAAATGTTCAGAGGAATTGTATAAAAAATTAGCCAAGCTTGGGCTTGAGAAAAGTCTGGCAAAATATCCTAAGGAATTGTATGAGAGATTGTCTAAGTTAAGGTTTGAGTAGGCCTGACAGTATGACAAGAGGAATTGTATGGAGAGATTGTTTGAGTTTGGGCTTGAAAAACCTGACAAAATGTCCAGATATATTCTATGAGAGATTATCTGAATCGGGCTTGAAGAAACTTGGCAATGCAGCTTAAGCGATTGCATGAGAAATAGCCTAAGTATGAGCCTGAGAGACGTAGCAAAATGACCATAAAACCTGTATGAGAGGATCTCTGGGAATGAACTCGGAAAGCCTGACAAGAGGTCAAGGGAATTGCACGAGACTCAGTATGAAGAACCCAACAAAAAGGGTGAAAGGAATCCATGAGAACGAATCAGAAAAACACGAGGACGGATTGAGCATGAACCTAAGAAGGAAACAAACCAGAACCAAAAAAACAACTGGTCTATCGAAAAGCATAAGACTGAAGAAAAACGATCACGAGGGGGCTCGAAGGGCCGAACTACGACAAAACAATAGGAAAGCGTAACAAGACTCGGGAAGGGAACATGGATTGCCCGGGTCGAAAAACAGATTATCTGCTGTATCGAGGATGACCAACCTCGGGAAGGAAACATAGATTGCACGGGCCGAAGAACAGATTAGATGATGTATTAAAGTGACCAACCTCGAGAAAGAAATATGGACTGCATTGATGGTGACCAAGACTTGGGAAAGAAGCATGGATTGTATGGGCAAAAAAAACAGATTATTTGATGTACTGAGGGGGTCAAAGGCTTGAGAAAAAAACATGAATTGCACCGACCGAAAAACAGATTATTTGATGCATTGAAGGTGGTCAAGCTTGGGGAAAAAAAAATTGACTGCACGGACAAAAAAACTGATTATTTTAATAACAACGAAAAGATATGAAAAAATATCAAGAAAGACCTTAGAAAACTAACTACCTATCACATCTCTTGCCCCCTTGTCTACCCCACTAATCAACGCTTTCCACTATTAACTACGGACTGGTGCGAGATAAGGACATCGTGAATGAGTGGGAGGAATGTGTCGGTACCTGTAGGTCCCGAATCAAGTCTCAACACTTGAAACATGATATATGGCTAAGATGTGCACGACATAGGAATCCGAAATGAGAGGGCGAGAGAAAAAAAAAAGAATAAGGAACTAAGGTAAGATCACCGACGATAAGGACCCAGGAGGAGGTTCGAGATCATCAAAGTTTCTTCGGAACAGAAATAGACTGTGTGATCGAGGTCGGTTAAAAACCACGAAAAATAACTAAAGGTGTTCCTCCTTTTTGAAGAAGAAGGACCGTCAGAAAAATAATAACCCAGAGGCTGAGTACCGCAGGAAAAAGGGGGTCACGACGTCAAGAAAAATAATATAGTGGCACCGACCCAAGAGATTGATACATGTGGCCGAGGGGCCGACTTGAATTTGGTGAAACGAAAGTCCATGGACCATGGAAAAAGCAAGGGGAATGCAAAGAGAAGACTGGTAGGTGTCACCCAAACCATTGCCAAGCCACGGGCGACCTGAAAAATAAGTGGCCTTGGGAACCAAAATACAAAGGACCAGAAAAAAAAAAAAAGAGGGTTTCAATTTCGAGGCTTCTGGCCTTGAAATTGAGAAGGGACTCAACGGGGATGCAACGGATCACAAGACCTTTGAATATGGAAGACCCATGTACATAAACCACATCTTCTTCATAAGCGGTTATCGGGTAGCTGAAAATTCAGGAACGAAAATTCTGAAGTGAGAGTTTTTGGCAGTCTGAAAATCCTGAATGGTCATGAAGTGGTGAAAGGTCCGAAGACCCTGAAAATCACCAGTTTAGGCAGGCTGTATCCTAGCGTGGTGAAGGGTGTCCTGAAGTGGTCAAGTGAGAGTTTTTGGCAATCTGAAAATCCTGAATGGTCCTGAAGTGATGAAAGGTCTGAAGACGATGAAAACCACCCTTCACCACTTGAGGATGCAGCCTGCCTAAACATGTGGTTTTCAGGGTCTTTGGAGCTTTCACCACTTCACGACCATTCAGGATTTTCAGACCTGAATGGTCCTGAAGTGGTGAAAGGTCCGAAGACCCTGAAAACCACCTTTTTTGGCAGGCTGAAGTGGTGAAGGGTGTCCTGAAGTGGTGATGAAAAATACAACTGTTGTTAACCTTCTCTCATCTTTTTTCACCTCCACCTTCTTCATCCATCCACTACAACTACGGTCCTTCACATCTTCTTCCCCTTCCATGTCCTTCATCCACCCGCCATAGCCAAGTGTCTTCAAACGTTATTCCATCTCCGCCTCATTCACCCATCAGCTATAGCCAAGCACCTTCACACCTTCTTCCACCTCCACCTCCTTCACCCATCCACCATAACCAAGTACGGTCACACCTTCTTCCACATCTACCTCCTCCACCTATCCACCATACTCAAGTAGCTTCACACCTTCTTACACCTCCACCTCCTTCCCCCATCCACCATAGCCAAGCACCTTCACACCTTTTTCCACCTCCACCTCCTTCACCCATCCACCGTAGACAAGTACCTTCGCACCTTTTTCCACCTCCACCTCCTTCACCCATGCACCATAGCTAACCACCTTCACGCCTTCTTCCACCTCCACCTCTTTCACCCATCCACCATAGCCACGTACCTTCGTACCTTCTTCCACCTTCCCTTTCCTCACCAATTCACCATAGTCAAACACCTTCACACCTTCTACCACCTTCGCCTCCTTCTCCAATCCAATACCACGGTCTAAGGCATATAAGGAAGTATATCGTTAGAGGAGTAGTAGGTAGGACGGTAGGACAAGTTGTGGGTAGCTTAGGTTAGGTACTTGGGTATGGCGGGTGGGTGAAGGAGGTGGAGGTAGAAGACGGTGTGAAGGTACTTGGCTATGGTGGATGGGTGAAGGAGATGGAGGTGGAAGAAGGTGTGAAGGTACTTGGCTTTGGCGGATGGATGAAGGAGGTGGAGGTGGAAGAAGGGTACTTGGCTATGGTGGATGGGTGGAGGAGGTGAAGGTGAAAGAAGGTGTGAAGCTACTTCACTATGGTGACTCACAGGAGCTGGAGGTCGAAGGTGTGAAGTTACTTGGTTATAGTGGATGGGTGAAGAAGGCCGAGGCGGAAGAAGGTAGGAAGGTACTAGGCTATGCTGGATGAGCGAAGGAGGTGGAGGTGGAAGAAGGTGTGAAGATTCTTAGCTATGGTGGATGGGTGAAGAAGATGGAGGTGGAAGAAGGTGTGAAGGTATTTGGCTATAGTGGATGGGTGAAGGAGGTCGAGGTGGAAAAAGGTGTGAAGGTACTTCGCTATGGCGGATAGGTGAAGGAGGTGGAGGTGGACGAAGGTGAAAAGGTACTTGGTTATGGCGGATGGGTGAAGGACGTGGAGGTGGAAGAAGGTGTGAGGGTACTTGGCTATGGTGGATGGGTGAAGGAGGTGGAGGTGGAAGAAGGTGTGAAGGTAATTGATTATGGCAAATGGGTGAAGGGGGTGGAGGTGGAAGACGGTGTAAAGGTGTTTGGATATGGCGGATGGGTGAAGGAGGTGGAGGTGGAGGTGGAAGGTGTGAAGGTGCTTGGCTATGGCGGATGGGGGAAGGAGGCGGAGGTGCAATAAGGTGTGAAGGTACTTGGCTATGGCGGATGGAAGGAGGAGCAGGAAGGAGAAGAAGTTGTAAAGGTACTTAACTATGGTGGATGGGTGAAGGAGGTGGAGGTGGAAGAACGTGTGAAGGTACTTGGCTATGGCGGATGGAAGGAGGAGCGAGAAGGGGAAGAAGGTGTGAAGGTACTTATCTATGATGGATGGGTGAAGGAGGTGGAGGTGGAAGAATGTGTAAAGGTACTTGGCTTTGGCGGATGGATGAAGGAGGCGGAGGTGGAAGAAGGTGTGAAGGTACTTGGATGTGGCGGATGGGTGAAGGAGGTGGAGGTGGGAAAAGGTGTGAAGGTATTGGTGGATGGGTGAAGGAGGTGGAGGTGGAAGAAGGTGTGAAGGCGCTTGGCTATGGCGGATGGGTGAAGGAGGTGGAAGAGGAAGAAGGTATGAACGTACTTGGCTATGGTGGATGGGTGGAAAAGGTGAAGGTGGAAAAAGGTGTGAAGCTAATTGGTTGTGGTGGATGGGTGAAGGAGGTGGAGGTGGAAAAAGGTGTGAAACCACTTGGCTATGATGAATAGGTGAAGGAGGTGCAGGTGAAAGACGGTTTGAAGCTACTTGGCTATGGTGGATGGATCAAGAAGGTGGCGGCGGAAGAAGGTATGAAGGTACTTGGCTATTGTGGATGGCTGAAAGAGGTGGAGGTGGAAGAAGGTGTGAAGGTACTTGGCTATGGAGAATGGATGGAGGTGCAGGTGGAAGAAGGTGGGAAGGTATTTGGCTATGGTGGATGGTTGAAAGAGGTGGAGGTGGAAGAAGGTGTAAAGGTACTTGACGAGGATGGATGGGTGTGTGAGGGTACTTGGCTATGGTAGATAGGCGAAGGAGGTGGAGGTGGAAGAAGGTGTGACAGTACTTGGCTATGGTGGATGCATGAAGGAGGTGGAAGTGCCAGTGGAAATAGGTGTTAAGGTGCTTGGCTATGGTGGATGAGTGAAGGAGGCGGAGGTGGAAGAAGGTGTGAATGTACCTGGGTATGGCGGATGGGTGAAGGAGGTGGAGGAGGAAGAAGGCGTGAAAGTACTTAGCTATGGCGAATGAGTGAAGGAGGGTGGTGGTGGAAGAAGAGATGAAGATACTTGGCTATGGTGGATGGGTGAAGGAGGTGAAGGTGGAAGAAGGTGTGAACATGTTTGACTATGGTGGTTCGTAAGCTTCCGGTCTCCCTCTACTTGCGTTGTCTCAATGTCCGAAGCATCAGAAAAACTTAAACTTCACAGAACTCTGACTTGCAAGAAAAACTCAGACTTCACAAAACTCTGACTTGCAAAAAAAACTCAGACTTCACAGAACTCAGACTTGCAAGAAAAACTCACAAGCGGTTATCGGGTAGCTAAAAATTCAGGAATGAAAATTCTGAAGTGAGGGTTTTGGGCAATCTGAAAATCCTGAAAGGTCCTGAAGTGGTGAAAAGTCCGAAGACCCTGAAAACCAGTTGTTTAGGCAGGCTGCATCCTGAACTGGTGAAGGGTGTCCTGAAGTGGTCAAGTGAGAGTTTTGGGCAGGCTGAAAATCCTGAATGGTCATGAAGTGGTGAAAGGTCCGAAGACCATGAAAACCACCCTTCACTACTTGAAGTTGAGGATGCAGCCTGCCTAAACGGGTGGTTTTCCGGGTCTTCGGAGCTTTCACCACTTCAGGACCATTTAGGATTTTCATACCTGAATGGTCCTAAAGTGGTGAAAGGTCCAAAGACCCTGAAAACCGCTTGTTTAAGCAGGCTGCAACCTAAAGTGGTGATGAAAAATACGACTGTTGTTAACCTTCTCTAAAAAAACTCAGACTGCGAAAAACCCTGATTTGCGACTTTCCGTTTTGGCCAATTTTACTATGGCTGGGAAAGCCGAAAAACTCAGATTTGCGTTTGGTGGCCTAAACGACGTTTGATGGCCACGAAACTTTTTGGGCCCTTTGTCCACACCCTATTTACGACCCTCCTAAAATTGGTCATGATTCCGTTGTCGTTTGCCCCTACCTGCCTGTTTCGAGCACCACCCAGGACTCCAAGCGAGCAGTTTCGAGAAGTTCAGTTATGTATATCTGGTGGCTTTGTAGGCCATCTGTATGTGTCTAGGATAAGTGGCTTGTTCAGTCTCAGCCCCCATATCCTTTGTTTGAAGGAGTTGGTTTTCGACAGCCCGAGCCGTACCCGTCCGTCGGTTATGTCGGCCCAGTCTTTCCTAAGGCTTAGTCAGCGGTTTCTGAGCAGCAGCAGTCAAGAGTTTGGCCAGACATCAGCAGCAAAAGCACCAGTCTCATTATCAGCAGCAATAACAGCAGTAACAGAAGCAAATACAGTCTTCTATCCACTTCCACTCCCTAACGCGTTCAAGTAAAGCATCGGGGGGGAGGGAAGTGTTGTTCAAATAAAGCACGAGCGGGTTAAAGTGCCATTCAAATAGAACACATGGGCGTGAGCTGCCACAAATACTCAGGGTTTGCTATGTATTTATCACCATATCAACAAAATAGACAAAGATTGAAGTTACGCTTTACACTCAAGTGAAAAGATTGACAACAACTAGAGGCAGAATGAGTGAAACCCAATCTTAGCCTAGGAAAAACAAAATTCAAAGTGACGATTTACTATGGATTGAGGAAATAGACAAAGCAAGAATGCATGAAACCCACAATACCAAATTAAACAAGAATATGAGTTTCGATCTACTTCCAAGTGGGAAGATTGACAAAAAGTGGAGGGAGAGTTAGTGAAACTCACTTCCATGCATCGAAACTCAAAATTCAAAGTGACGAATACATTGAAGTGGGAAAATGGACAAAGCATGAGCAAATGATGACATCAACACTAGAATGAGCAAGAGATAGAGTTGTGATTTACACCTAAGTGAAAAGATGGACAAAAAGTGAAAGGGGGAGTTAGTGAAGCTCAATCCCGTGCATGGAAACCCAGAATGCAAAGTCGCGAATACATTGTAGTGGGAAAATGGACAAACCATGATTAAATGATAACATCGACACTAGAATGAATAAGAAATAGAGTTGCTATTTACACCCAAACGGAAATATGAGCAAAAGATGGAGAAAGAGTAAGTGAAACTCACTCTCATGCATGGAAACTCAAAATGCAAAATGGAGAAATACATTGAAGTGGGAAGATATACAAAACAAGAGCAAATAGTGACATCAACACTAGAATGGACAAAAAATAGAGTTGCAATTTACACCTAAGTGGAAAGATGAGCAAAAGATGGAGGGAGAGTGCGTGAAACTCACTCTCATGCATGAAAATTCAAAATGCAAAGTGGCGAAATACATTGAAGTGAAAAAACTGTCAAAACAAGAGCGCATGATCACATCGCGCTATAATGAACAAGAAATAGAGTTGCAATTACACCCAAGTGGAAAGATGAGCAAAAGATGGAGGGAGAGTGAGTGAAACTCACTCTCATGCATTGAAACTCGAAATGCAAAGTGGAGAAATATATTGATGTAGGAAAATAGAGAAAACAAGAGCAAATGAGGACATCAATACTAGAATGAACAAGAAAAATTGCGATTTATACCCAAGTGAAAAGATGAGCAAAAGATTGAGGGAGAGTGAATGAAACTGAATCCCAAGCTAAAAAACATAAAAAGTAAAGTGATGATTTATTATGACTAGAAGAAAAGGACTAGATGGGGACAATCCCTAGTGGAGGAGCTACCTACTACCCTCCCCATGCTCGATATGTTAGTTATAGAGAGAAAAGAGAGAGGAATGAGAAAGAAGAAGAAGGAGATGGAGAGGAGAGAGGGTGGAGGAGAATGAAAGATGGTTAAAAAAGGGAAGAAGTATTGAGAAAGAAGTGGAGGAAGAAGAGGAAGGTAGGGGAGGAAGGTGGGGGAAAAAAAAAAAAAAAAAAGGGAGAGGAAGAGAAGAAGAGGAAGAGAAGCAGCAGGAGAAGAACACATTCTTCTCTTTCTCACTCACCTTCTCCTTGCACAATTGCAGCCCGGCTATGACTTCCTTCTTCTTAAGGCCCGCAACTCTTTCCTTCCTCGACCTCTCTCAGGCTATGGCAAACTCTTACCACTAAGGCTATGAAATCATTGCCTTTGGGAGGGCTAAGCGGACCCCCACTAGCCTTTCTTTCTCTCTCACATCATGGGGGCTATGGCAGATCACTCCCCTAGGTTAACACTACCTTCACTAGCCTCAACAGGCTCTCCTACTGACCTATAACCTCCTCCAAGTTCCCAAGCTGGCGGCGGATCCCCTCCTTTCACTCCAGTTGAGTGTAGTAGAGTTCTTTTGGGCTCATATGGGCAGCTTGTACTTGCCTCATGCAAATCTGAGTGTGGTGGGCTGCTCCCCCAACTTATATAGGCTGGACAAAGCACTCCGGTCAGCCCATAGGCCTCTCCCTTTGCCCCATCGTGAATCAAGGTACCCCCAAGGCTTTTCCTCTCCACTAGGCCTCTCGGGAGCACCCGGACCTCTTTTTGGCTAGGTACATGCGGTACGAGTGGTTCGTACCAACTCGGCCAGCCTCTAGAGCCTTCTTATGCCTCATTTTCACTTTCAGATGATGCCCTTGGCGCTGAAAGAAAAATACCTTACGAGCTTTTTTCTCGATTTTCCCTAGTCCTACCCCAATTTGGGTAGGTTGAGGCATTTTCTTTTGCCATGGGATCCTCAGCCTTGGATCCGGCTGAGGTCCAAGACCATCATTTATCCGAGCTACCCCCAGGTGACCTTAACTTCAAATTTAAGCTCCAAGGCTCATTTTTTAAAGTTTTTTGTGCATTTGCCTTTCATTTCGACGAAATCTATTATTTCGTCTTTTTTCCTTTTTTGTTTTTTTTTATTTTGGGTTGCCAACTCATTCCAGAGTTGGCTGTTTGAGATGGCCCCACAAAAAAAAGGCCTCATCACCTCCTCCATAAATCTGAATCTCAAAATCTCAGATTCATGACCCAAAACAAAAACGCTCTATTTCTTTTTGTTTTTGATCTCATTTTAGTCTTTTTAATTCAGATTTTGTTGAGATAATAATGCCCCAAGGCACTTATCTCTTCACTCTGGATTGCCTTTCACTAAATCCGGAGTGATGAGGTCACATTAGAAACCTGCTAGTCTCTACTGTATCAGTCCCAACTGGTCAGTTCATCCTCATTTACTCTTTTTTCCCCCTTTGTCTCATTCTCCCTGCTTTTCTTCCTTTTTTTTTTTTTTTTTTTTTTTTTTTTTTTTTTACGTTAAGTTTTTTTTTTTTTTTTTTCTCTCTTTTTTTTTCTTTTTTTTTTTTTTTTTTTTTTTTTTATTTCTATTGTGACAAGTGTTAAGCAGCCATAAACTCTTTTTCTAGACCATGGGTCTTGGTCTAGACCCAGATCCAGGTCCAACAACCGACCGTTATTTCTCGGATTACAATAATGAAACCCCCATACTCATAGGGGCTCTATTTTGTCTCCGTTAGTCTCCATTTTTTGTCCCCCTTGCTCCAATTTTTCCTTTACAAACCCGTTTTTCGCGAAGAACCCCTTGGGGCTCTATTTTCTCATGCCTTGTTAGTCCGAGATGTCTCGGACTGTAGGGCAGACCTCCCATCACCATTTCTTATCTCTTTTTGCTTCCAAATTCCCTCTATATGTGCCCCACTCAAATATTGCAATAGCGGTTGCCAGTATTTTCCTCCGTCAAGATCTTGATTTCGACGGTGTCACTTTCTTCGCGCGTTCATTCTCCATGTGGAGCCCACAGTTTTCCTTGGGACACTCAAGTCCCCGACCCTCATCCCACACAACTTTCACTTTCTAGTTTCACCGACACTCCCGCCGGTACATGTCTCAATTTCAATTATTTTTGTTGGGACTCATTTAGTCCCCTGCATCGTTCTCGCTGACGTCTAATTTTTATGTGGGACTCTCAAGTCTTCGACAGTCTCAATTTTTTCTTCCCATGTAAAGGCCTTGAGTATTCTCTGTCACGAGATCCTCATCTCACGATTGTTATTTACCATTTCCACTTGCTTCAAGCTTGAGAATCTTCTTTTTAGTGTCTTGAGTGTGCCAAGGCTCATTTTCCCTTGGACTTGGTACCCATATGTAGCCCGTTATTTCTCAGACTGCGGTAATGGTCTTTTTCCTAATCTCATTGCCCCATAACTTACCCCAAACTGAAACAAAATGAAGCGGTTAATTACCAAGTGCATCCAGGCTCAGTATTGGTTCATGATAAACCAAAAACATGCGTTTTCCTTCCCTCTTTTACTCCGTTGCATCTTGCTTGCATGGGGCATTGATTTTCTCAGTAAAATCTAAATAAAATCAAGATATTTTGTGACTGATTCACCCTCGGATGAATCTAGTCACAAATATATCTCCCAAGTGATGTATTTTTACCGTTAGTGTTTTTTTTCATTT